ATAAAAAAAAAAGAATAAAAACATAGAGAATACGAGAGTGATTAGGGCTTTTAAAAGGTGATGACCATTCTAATTAATATATATACATGATATTTCTAAAGGTCATTATGAAAAACCTCATGAAATCATAAATTGTTAATTAATAGTATAAAACCCTCTATTTTAATCCAAAAAGATTCTGATCATATATTGATGGGTTATTTATTAAAAAAATGTAGACAGAAAAAGATGGAGGGCACAGAAAATATAATTGGGAGATAAGTGTTTGAAGGAGTTGATGAGTTTCAGGCTTAATGGAGAAATGCCGTGAAGAAAGAGACAGAGAGAAGTCCACAGAGTTCCGGTGAATTCCTTGGAAATGTTAATTATCACTCACTTGTCATACTCATAGCTCAAAAGCCATCCCTTCTTCCACCTTTAATTTGCCAAATGCCAACTCTATCTCCCTCACTTTGATTTCGTCCTTCCAATATTAATATATCTCTCTCTGTCTCTCTCTCTATGCGCCATCACATTCACAACCACAAAGTTCAAAAACATGTAATTTCTAAGATTTTATTTTAATTTATTTTATTTCTCATATAAATTGTATAAAAAATTTATAGATAAAATTACACAACTAAAAAAAATCGAGATGTTGAGTGCATATGAGAAATAAGATCAATGATAAAATTTTTATATCTACCCAGTATTAATTAAGGAGCTCTTTCATTAAGTTGGAGGAGTACTTATAAATTAGTTGATGAGATCCTAAATACAGGAACTAGAAGATAATTTGTAGATATGAAGAAAATCCTTTAAGTTAATTATTTATTCGTAAAAATGTGTATTAGTTTTTTTATAATATTTTTTTAATTATTTGTATTAGAACTATTCTTTGATGAAAATTTCTTTAATACATGCTATCAATAAGGAAAAGTTGAACAAGAAATTATAAAATCAAGAGAGAAAGTAAATTACGAGGAAAATTAAAGACATATAGCAGAGAACTCATGGAAGCGCATAGGGCTGAGCAATGGGCGGGATGGGCTAACCCGAAGGTTAGCCCATAGCCCGCCCATTTATTTATAAATAGACATGGGCTAACCCATAACCCGGTAGTAGTCCATTTAACCTGTATTAAATGGGTTATGAGGCAGCCCGTTTGGGCTAACCGGGTTACGGGGTAACCCATTTATTTTTTTAAATTTTTTTCAGTATAGTTATTTGTATATACTCCTCCGGTCTTAATTATAAGACCCAATTGACTTATTTGAGGAGATTAAGGAAGTAAGTTAAGTTGGTTATTTATAATAAATAAGTGTTGTTATTCCTAAAATATCCTTGCTAATTAAGTATATTGGCTAACACTATCATTATTAGAAGGATTATCTTGGAAAAAAATGCATAAATATAAAAGAGAAAATGGATTGGGTCTTATAATTAGGACCAAATAAAAAGTCAAATTGGGTCTTATAATAAAGACCGGAGGAGTATAACCTTATGAAGTTGTCAATAAATTTGCATGCCAAATAGTAAATCAAATATGAAATAACATCAATTACATTCAATCACACAACCTCACTTAGATTCACAAACAATCAAAGTCTGATAAAATCATAAAAGTAGTCACCAATCATAAAGTCTCATAAACTTTGAAAGTTCCAATTTTCACCTAAAGGATAAAATAAAAGCTTAGACAAGCATGAAGGTTTGATAAAAGATGAATGAGAAACAGTATCATCAATTAAATAAAGAATAAAAATATTTTTAAAAAATTAAAACTTAAACGGGCGGGTATGGGTAGCCCAATACCTTGCCCATAGCCCAACCCGTTTAATGGGCTACCCTGCCCATTTAAGCCCGCCCGTTTATAATCTCTTATTTGGGCTAATTGGACGGGCTTAAATGGACAAAAATTTCATGGGTCATGGGCGGGCTAGCGGATAATGGGTTTGTTGCTCACCCCTAAAAGCGCAGGGCAGCATTATCAGCAAAGACAGTGAAGCGTGGGCTGTTTAATTAGCTTTTTTTTTTCCCTTCCTGTTAACTTTTCTTTCTCTCTTCTCGATCCTCCTCCTTTTTCTTCTTTTACTATCTTTTTGGCTGTAATGTGTTCTCTTTTCTGGGAAGATGACCTTTTTAGTCTCCATGTGCCTTCTCTCCTATGTCTATCCATCGCCTTCATTATTCCAACACTACAATCTCTCATTCCAACCATCTCACATGAAAGACAAATGCCCTTAAAGTGTGGCCTTATGCTCACCCACAGGTGCACCAACTTCATTCCACGTCCCCTGCCTCCCTCCCGATCGTGACGTGGCTGTCAAAAGCATCCAGCTTCCATGGCTTCTCGCCTTTCCAGGAATATATATATATATTAAAGTAAAACAAAACAAAAAGTCATCCTCAAATAACAAGTCATAAGTGGTAACATGTCGCTCACAATGAGAAATAGAAGAATCAAGATGAGTTGGCAAGGCAAGGTTGTTCTATTGACATCACAAAAGCTTTAATGACATGAATGCTCCTCAGTGAATGAAAAACCAGGCTTTAATCTCATCTATGATCTCAAGCCGTTAGTCCTTCAATTAAATTATTATTCTTCTTTTTTAATTTATATATATACATAGTTAAGCGAAAATTTATGATGTGGTAATTATGTTAAAGTTGTATTATGAATGAAATGGGGCAAGAAAAGGTTAAGCCAACAAACCCTAATCATAAATTTGGACGTTGGGACCCTCCTTGAGTTTTGGGCATCTTTTTTTTTTTTTTAAATAAATTTTTTAATGTTATTTTAGAATTTTCTGAGGCAAAGTCGAACAGTGATAGCTCAAGAACAAACCATGTGAGTGGGGAAGACCCGTCTTTTAAATCCGAAAAGAGGAGTTTGCTTGTGCAATAGTCCAAAAAGTCAAAGCATCAAATCCAAAAATACATCGAAAAGTCTCTTCCTTTTAATAAGAACAAAACCATCAAAATACTCACATCATATAAATATATATATATATACGCACATATATATATCACACACACACACACTGTACCTTTCCTCTTTCGCGTACATATACTGTACTCTGAAGCATATTATTTGTCTTTTCATCATCTCTCTCTAACTCTTCAACAGTTTCATTTCAATTTTTTCACCGAAGAACTTTTAACCTTATATAGATATATATGAAGCAATAAAGTTTAATTTCTTGTACGTTTGGTAGAGGAATGATATATATATAGTCAGTATCTAAAAGCAGGAAGAAGAGCCGAAAGAAGAAAAAGATAACGATATATCGAACCCACACATGATAGTTTGTTCGCACATTTTGCTTTGATTTATTAGGTTTCTGCTTTTTCATGTAACTATATATATATAATAATAATAATAATAATCCGTATGTGTGTGTGTGTGTTATGTGCCTTCTGGAGCCTTAATTTGGATTTAGCTGGAAAACATATTTCAAAGTTGTGTTTATTTTAAGCTTATTAAAATGTAATGAGTGGACGATATTGGTTTTAGTTAGGTGATGTGGAATCTTTTTAATTCATTGATTGACGCTTATATGGACAGTGATATTATAGAAGCACCAGTCTTTTTTGACCTTTTATTTGTTCCTACAAATCACTTATTTTGGGGGACAGAAGGGAGAAACATAGGTTAATCAACACAAAAAAGAAATCATGCAAATTACTTTAATTATTATTAACGTACTTTGATTTTCCAGAGTGACTGCCGTTCTCTGAAGCTTAATTATTATTCTCTGTCATTATTACAGAGGGCTACTTTAATCACTTGACATTGTTAAAAAAATTCAGTTAAAGATAGAGAATCTTATCAAATTTGTCAATAATTTGAATTAGTTTTAAAAATTACCTCTAAAACACTCTATTCACTCAATTAATCCCTCTCTCTGTATTTTAAACACCCGATATTAGAAACAGTGAATAATAATTAATGATTGGGTTGGATTGTCTTGGCTGAAGCATGTAGTGTGTGGAAATCTAAATATGTGAATGATTTTGAGAAAAGATAATTAGTAATTAAAAATTAATTTGACTAACGAAATTTGTAAAATATGAAATTAATAATATTTTACGTAACTATCTGCTTAACTATAACATTTTTTCATTAGAAAATAATAATAACTCTCCTAAAACAAACAACTACTAGAAACTACATGTTGTGATTGATCTCAGCGCCGGCTTTTCAAATCCAATTTCAACTGCTTTCTTTTACTTTTTGTGTGTGTGTGAATGAAGCATGAAAGATCGGTTTTTTAAACGAAGTATTTATGTTTTTAATATGCACAACAAGTAATTTTATCAGGGTGTATTAAGCTTTGATTTTATTAATTTGTAATAGGAATGATCAAATTGAGTTTAAACGAAAGGCACCTCGTATAAATCCATCATGGGAAAGCATGCATCGAATTATATATTGTCCCTAAAAAAATATATATTAAAATTATATTTAAAACTTCTATTATAATTAATGAATTAATTTTTTAATTTATATGAACTGTAAATTTTTCATATATTGCACTTAATGTGTTGTGGAAAATTTTCTTGCAGGAATTATATACCAGCTGTGTAGAAATGAATGTATATGGTTATGCATGTATTAGAATATCGTACAAAATATGTTCCCAATTATTTAAAATTATACATAATTATAATTACTCACTGTACATGCAAGATGCACATTTAATTATTTATTTAGTTTTATGAATTTTAATTTATGAATTGGAATAACAAAGAAATATATTTCAAGGCTTATAATTGTCCAATTTATTATTGACAGCAGATTGGGCCAGTCATCTTTATACTTGGGCTTTGACCGCTCATGTTCTGCAAATGTCTATGAAAAACTGTTGTGGGCTTTTAACAGGAATATTGGGCCCGTCGGATTTATGTTGGACCTTCCGGCCCTTGACTTTCCCGACCCAATATTGCCCTAATCCTTCTTTTGCTCCGTCGGCCATTCTCACCGCCGTCCAAGATTCTTCTGTCACCTCCCGTCGCGCTCTCCACCCCATGCGCTAATATCCTAATCCTGCTGTGCCAATAATTTTTGCCATCCATCGGCCGACGAGGAGGCAGAAATTGAATCGATGAGGAATCCATCACACAAATGGGCATACATTAGGATCATCACTGGAACAATCGTCGGGGGCATTCTTGGGTTCTACGTTATGCATCGCCTCGAAGCTAATTATAAGGTTACTTCTCTACTCTCTCTTTACTTTTTTAGTCCATTTTACAGGGCGTGATAGAGAGACTAAGATTTGAGATTGATCGGATTTTTGAGCTGCCTGATGGAAGGACCTAATAATTCAACTTGAAATCATGTGCTTTTGGAATGTGTCTTTTATCTTATTTTATTTTATTTTTGTCTTGTTTGAAGTGTAACTAATGGCTGATGTGGGGAATTGTGTTGATAACAGGAGAGAATGAATGAAAGACTGAGAAACTATGAAGCCGAATTGCAGAGGAAGAAGCAAGAGAGACTGAATGAGTTTAAAGAAGAATCGTCTTAGCCTTCCGATTGAATGCCACGCCTCTTCTTCGGGCCCCTGTTAGAATTTTTGTATGATCTCGCCTTTCCTTTTCTTTTCTTTGCCCGGTGTCTCAGAAATGCTGTGGAACTGGAAAGAGATGCCATTATTCTGTTTCTAGTAGTTAATTTTATGAACTTGGTTTATTGAAATCGAACATCTCTAGCCTTGCTGACATTCATGTTTTGGACATGAAAATGGCTGTTGATCAGTGATTGTGAGCTATTCCTCTGGCATAACCTTTTGATTATTATCATTATTTGAATGCATTCCAATAAAAATTTGTATATTAGACCGGTTCTTCAGTTACTAGTTTAGGAGTTAACAGAAGATAGAACCTGATCCTTGTCCACCAATGTCCCATACAGCCCTAATACTTTCAGCAAAATCACCTCCAAGAGAAGACCTCAAGGCAGTGCGATACACCCTTTTCATTACATCCCGGAGCTGAATTGTTACTGCAGCTCAGTGTTTGATCCAAAGGATGGGTTATGATGGTATTCGAACTAAAAGCTGCTTCAAGTCTTTGACTGTGCCTCAGACACCCAGGTTTAGAACTGCATAATCAATGGACTTGTTTAAGATTCTCGTCTTTGATAACTCTTGTGATGCTCAAAGTCTCAAAGATATTACATTTCATAATGTATCTGACAATGTCATTTATTTTTCAATAAACATAGAACAATGTATATAGTGTATGTGGTGCATTACTTGTACATCCAAATGCACGATGAAGAGGGCCTGTCTTTAAGGTCAAAGTACTACATCTGTTGAGACATATCTTCACTTTAATGCTTGATGTGGATGATAAAGCAATTTATACAACTTTGTAGTATATGGAGAAGCTTTTAATAAGATCATCATCACTGTAGGAGAAACACTGATCTTGATTGCTAATATTCTCCTCAGCGCGGCTCTTCCGGTTGCTCTTTCAGTAAATTCCCCATTCATAAAGACAAATTTCAAGGCTTGTTTTGCGGCCGCAGACTTCTAAGCTGGTGGATGAATGAGAAATGAAAGGGAAACATGCCATTGATTGGATCAAACTTAGGGAGTGTTTGGGTAGGATCAAAACCGAAGTGCTTTTATGATATACGAAATAAATATGTGAAGAAATTTATCGCGATTTACGAAAAAGTGTTTCTGAAAAGTGATTATTGGGGTATCCAAACATCTTCTTAGTCAAGTTTGTAGTTCTCGCTTGTCTTACTTTTTTCATATCATCATTTAATTCTAAAGCCACAATCATCATTTAATTCTAAAGCCACATGAAAAAAATAGGATGTGTCAAAATAAGATGATTGTAAAGAATCTGCCGCGTTAATTATACATAAGCTTCAGTGTAATTGGGCCACAAGGCCAAGTACAGTGCTTGACCTTTTCACTCCCTGCGCTACTGTAGTACTGTGTGACTCTGAGCAGCGGTCGTTTGTCATGTTTTAATTATTTAACTAATCATTAATAAGAATATCTAAGAAATTTATTATGTATTTAAATATCCTGAAATTTTCATATGATAATTGACTATTAATTAAATTATCAACAAAAATCTAATACTTCTACCCTTCCATCCAGTCTTCATCAAGTCTGCAATTTGTCTGAGGAAAATGTTAGGTAGTAGATGGAACGAATTAGCTGGATGTTGTTTAACCTAAGCTTCCAACTTCATAAGTAAGATCTTGTAAACTTTTTTTAAAAAAACAATTTAACCCACGTAGGGGGGCGTCCGGATCAATGTGCGTTGCAGGCTCTTGTCTATCATATGGCCGCCCTGTGACAGCAAAATCCAACAAACCCAATGGTCTCATTTGTGGACCATATATACAACAACAATAATAATAATAATAATAATAATCTCTCATAACCTCTAAAATTTAAAATGAAATAGTGCGAGAAAAGAAAAAGAATTAAGAGTACTATATAATCGTCAGGTCCAACGATAATTGCACTGTGGGAACGGACAAATCAATGGAATCGGCCTTCCACCACATTACAGCATAGCAAAACAAGCACATTGGAGTGACCGAGGGATGAGAACAATGCACAAAACATAGCAGAGAACCGCTTTCGTTGTTTTCTGTGTATAAAAAAGGACTTTAGTTTTGGAAGTGCGTAATTAAGAGGCCAACTAATTAAGAAGGGTGGGATTAATTTGGGTTAATTAGAGGAAAAGATCATCTATCCAAAGTAAGTGATATATTGAAGATGGGGTCCCAAGCTGTTGCAGTGTCAATGCTTGTGTTGAGGATCATTGCTCTGGCAGCCTCAGTGGCGACAATCGTTTTATTGGTTACTGACAATGTCAAGTCTGATGGTTTTTTTATCTTCCAGTTGAAATTCCAAGATATTATAGCTTTCAGGTAATTCATTATCTTCTCCACAATTCAACATCTTCCATCATCCTCTTCCTTTTATTACTTACTACATTGATCCTCTTTAAAAATTGATACCACCAATATAGAAGCTAATTAGAAAGTTAATTTTAGTTCTAAATATAAGACTCAATCCATTTTATCTTTTATATTTATTATTTTTTTAAATTAATTTACCTAATCTATTATTAAACATGAGTATTTAAGGGAGATCATCGTTTGATTTAATTAATTAACATCTGTTTGATTTTTACATCTACCTAAATTTGATAAGTAGCTCTTATGTTAAAATCAGAGTAATATAATGAATAATATATGGAATTAATGCGGGTGTATGCGTGTGTGTGTGTGTGTGTTGGGCAGGTACGCTTTAGCAGTAGCAGCAATATCAGCAGCGTATGGAATCCTACAACTTCCATTTGCAGTGTACTATGCTGTGAAGGAGAAGAGACTAATACGCAATGGCTGCTTGCCTGATTTTGACTTCATTGCCGATAAGGTAACATATGTTTATGCTAAAAAGTCTTGAATCTAAAATGAAGATAGCCTTCTAATCACTTAAAAGTTGAAATTATATATGAATCATCTAAATTTAGATACAAACTATATCTCTAATGTTTATGATTCCTATCACTGTGATGAGCACGGAATGTGACATGCAGGTGATTAGTCTGGTGCTGGCAACAGCAGTAGGTGCTGGAATTGGTGTGTCATATGAGGCCAAGAGAGGGTCTTTGCAAAACGCAGGAGTGCCAGTGTTAATCATTGTGGACTTTAATGACAAAGTCGACCAGTTTTTTGAGAGAGGCATTATTGCTTCATCCGTTCTGGCTGTGGCCTGCCTTTGCATGGCCATCGTATCAGTGATTTCCTCCGTTGATCGAAGCCGAAGCAGAGGAGGCTTCTTCAACTGAACATTTCATTCATTTCTTCTATCATATCATCCTCAAAATAATTAGAGACAAGATCTCTGCCTATGTATAAAGTGTATTCCCTTCGATTTCATATATAAGGCTTATTCTTGCAGAAAGTGTTTGTTTTTTCACAAGGCATATGATAGTTCTAAGGAGTATTTTATATATATATATATATATATATATCTGTCTATATATATTGCCAATGATATTTACACACACATATTCCACAAGGTAAGAAAGAGAGGAAACTAACATGATATTGGAGTTGGAGTTTAGTATAATTATTTAGGCCAATATTCTCTAATCACTTAAATTTTTTAAAGTTAAAATACGATTTTGAACCTTATTTTTTTTAGGTGTTTGCCCTTAATCTTTAGGGGCAATAGGGGCAAAATTGCACACACAAAAAATCAGGATCAAAATTGTACCATTAAAAGAATCAGGGACAAAATTGCATATGATAAATAACATCAAGATCAAAATATATTTAATGTTTTAAATTTTTTTTATTAATATGTGTGAATTGGTTAAAAATGCGTTAATTTTACTCTACGGTGTTCAATCTAAACTAGAGCTACATGCCCAACCCGCCACTCTTTTTTAACTTTTATATATATCTTACACTTTTTTTCCCTGTACGATATACATGAAAAGAGAATGAAATCTTTTTCTTCATAAGCCTAAATCATTAGAATACATTATTGATAATCACAAACATCAAATATTTAAATTTTTCAAAACATTACAAACAAAAACATCTAATTCAAGCATGATTTGCCAAATGAAATTTTAAGTTCAATAACAAGCTGATTACAACATGAAATATGTTTGTGTCAATCATTTCATTTGGATAAATCACGTTTGAATGAAATATTGTATGTTTGCAATGTTTTGGGTAATTTGAATATTTGGTGTTTGTAATTGTTAATAATGCATTTCATTTAGATTTGTAAGGAAAAAAGAAAATAAAAAAATATACTTGAAAAAGCATAAAAGTGGCAGGCTCTGATTGGCCTCTTCAGCTCACCCCACCAAGCTCGCGTCTCGTGGTAGGCTATCCCACAATCCGCAAGTTGGCCTTATTATCAGTTCCTAAATCTCCAACTTCATAAATCTAAGTATCAAAAAAGAAAACACAGAAGGAAACCATTTAATTCACCGTAGCATACATCAGTTCCAGTGTTTGGTGCAGGCACTCATCTATTAGATGAATATGGATGCCAAAAACTTGAAGTCCAGTCTGACTCGTCTTAACTCAGTTCAATCTGATTCAACCCGATTTTAAAAAAAGCAACACAATGTGTCTAGTTTGAGCTTGTTTAATGCTTCTGGACGGTGCTGTTTAATTTCATGATTCGGCATTGCTCTCTCAAGTATAGGTCCAACATTTTTTAAAACGAAGTAGTGTGTCTACATTTCTCAAGACAAAAAATATTAACTGAAATACTCTTCAATTCTTAAATATTGGAGTGAAATAACTAATTTATAAAAAAAATTAGGTAAGTTACTTATAGGTAAATATTTGTTGATTTCCAAAATGCTCTTTTAATCACTGATACATAAATTACTCTTTGATAAAAACCTCCTTAATAAGTGCAACTGATAGGAATAATTTTGATAACATATTATAAATTTATTTTTTAGTCCGATTTATAAGATAAAGAGAAATTTTTTTATTAAGTCATATTATTAAATTTTTAACACAAATGTACTATTTTATCTTTTATTTATTATAGTTTAGATTGTTACTTTATTGACAAGTGAATATATTAAATAGAAATAAATTTAAAATGTTGTTCAATTTTAAATAGACTGTTAATACCATTTAGGGTTTTTCTTACTTCCGGTGAAGCATGTTCTTACAAGTGACTTGTTAAAAAAGTATGTTGGAATTTTAGGATCACAACAAATCCCTCCATTAACTTCTATATCGAGGACTAGAGGAGTACATATAATCGACAGGTCCAACGTCAATTGCATTGTGGGAATGAACAAACTAAAAAGAAACCGGCTTTCCACATTAATTAGTACAATAAAACAAATGAAACGCATCGGAGTAAACGAGGGAGGACAAGGGGCAAAACACAGAGAATATAAATATGTGTAATTAAGAGGAGTGAGATTAATTAGGAGAGAGTTGATTTATTAGAGGAAATTAAAGATCATCGATCCAAAGTAGTAGTAATAATATAATGGCGTCTCAAGTTGCCATCTGCATGTTTGTGTTGAGGATCATTGCTATGGCAGCCTCAGCGGCAACGATCGCCTTACTGGTTACTAACAATGCCAAGCTTGAAGTTGCTTCTTTTCACTTCGACTTGATCAAATTCCAACATGTTATAGCTTTCAGGTGTTTAATTATCTTCTCCACAGTTCTACATCTTTAATTTTATCGTCTGTAATTGAGCTTCCTTCCCCTTCTGTGAGAAAATTCCACTCCAATCTTGTTCTAAATATAGAAGCTTGATAATTTATATGTGTACATTAATAAATTTTGTTAATTTAGTTATTTGTAAAAAATGCATATTGGCTTTACTAAGATATCCCTTCTAATCATACGCATTTTGAAGCTATTCATGGATAAATGAATAAGGATAATTTTGGAAGAAAAACAAATAAGATATAAATTTAGAAAACACAACAGGCTGAGATCTTAAGATCAGAGGGAGTAATAAGAGTCAATCATGCATGTTAGAAAAAAGCAGAGTCTTACAAAAACTCTATGTGAATATTTTCAGTTTTTCAAATTAATACAGAGTTCTTGAATTTTAATAGATTCATTCATAAAAATATTTACAAACTTCTTATCAACAAAGTCATAAAAGAATTGATTTTTGAGTTGTTCTAGAATTTTATGTCCTTCCAATATATAACTCACATGAAGCCCATATATTTGAATTACTCATAACATATGTATGGTGAGTTAATATATGGAATTAATGGCGCGCGTGTTTATATAATTATAGACACATACACATTGGGCAGATGCGTGGTAGCAGTGGCAGCAATATCAGCATTGTATGGAATCATACAACTTCCTTTTGCAATGTACTATGCCGTGAAGGAGAAGAGATTAATACGAAATGGCTGCTTGCCTGATTTTGACTTCATTAACCGAAGCAGAAGCAAAGGAGGCCTTTTCAAATGAACATTTCATCATTTATTTCTTTTACTATATCTAATCCTAAATATAAAAATTAGATCATATATTTAGAATTAAAAGCAATATTATAATTCAAATTATGTTTTTATCTTTTAATCATTTCATATAACTTCTTTTATATTTATGTATTCATGCACGTCATGTCATCTTTTTTATTCATTCCATAGTAAATGGCTTGTTATTATACATATCTTTTGTACTCTAAATTACAAGTTTATGACCATATAAATATATATACGTATATATAATAGAGTTGGGACAAAAGATTTTGGTGTGGAATTTTAATTTGCTGTCTCTGTTTTTCCATCCGTTGAAGGTGTGTTTGGAAACCATTAAAAGCATTTTAAAAAAAAGTGTTTTCACCTTAGTCAAAACAAAACTCCTCTTACGTATTTATTTTGAAATCCGTAAAATTACTTTCAAAAGCTAATCCAAACACCCCCAAATCTCTCAGCCGAATTTTCCTTTTCGCTGCTAGTTATATCATACACACGCACATATATACATGTGATGTGCATTTGTATCAGAAATTTTTGTTAGCTTTATATAATCTGATTTTTCCCTGCGAATTTTTATCTATCGAGCCGTTATTATAGTCGGCGTTCATAACATATACTATATAGGTATCATATATGTTCAATCAAAAGGGCAAATTTATCTATAAATCCATAGTTTTACCAAATTTTTAATAAGGTTTTGTAGTTTTTTTAATAGGTCATTATAGTTTCCTCTATTATAGCCATTAGGCAATACTCAGAATCTAATAACGGCTTATGTTAAATGAAGAATGGCCGCGAGTAAAATGAAGAATTAGAAAACATAACAAATTAAAACAGAAAAAAAAAAGCATTCAGTTAAAAATTAACAACCAAAATTTTTTATTTTTAAAAACAAAGTTTTTTTCCTAAAACAAGAGAACAAACAGAATCCCTTTAGCTTAGGTAAATCCTACTCTCCGTTTGGAACGTCAAATATTGACAATTCATCTTCTGCATGCCTCTTCACAATCATGCTACTTCTGCTTATGACGATGTTAAAATTGCTATTGAAAAATATTTTTAAAATATAATTTTTATTACAAAACATTTTAGGATACTAAAAAGTATTTTGGATGTTGGATGAATATTAACTGTACGTCGGTACTCTTAAAACAGCAACACCATCATCATCAACAATCAACAACAACAACAATAATAAAAGAGGCTACTTAAATGGAGAGGGAAGAGAAGGGGCTGCAGACAATACATATACATACATGACTAACCGTACAATAAATCAGTCCGGAAAAAAGCACAATAAAAACTTAAACAATCTTTTTTTAAAAAAATTAACATTTAATTTATTTTTTGGCCGGCTACCATTTAATTTATTTGAATTATGTACATGCCAAGATAAAAATCAGATTCATTTAATGTTCTTTTTTTTCCTCGGAAAACATATTTAAGAGTTGAAGGTTAAATCAAATTACAAATCAAAATCAAACCTTAACAAATACTACATCCATAAGAGCTAGTTGATTAATTTGAACAAATTAAGAAAATTAATTAAGTTAGTTATTTATAATAAATATGTATTATCTTTCTTAAAATATTATTGTTAACCAAGTGTATTGGCCATAACTATTTTAAGGACTATCTTAGAAATATATAAATAGATAAATAAAAGAGATAAGATAGATTATGGTCTTATATTTAGGACTAAAATAAAAATTAAATGATATTTTATATTAAAAACAGGGGATAAGAAATTAAAAGAAGCTTAAACTCTGATCCAAACCGCAGCAAGACAGGAAGAACCTCTTTACCTAAAGGAACTTGAGCGAATCATTCCGTTCGCTCTTTATCATCATCATCATCATTATTTATTAGGGACAAAAACTTCTCTCTTTAGTGGTTGACATCCGGCTGCC